TATTTTTATGTTTACTCTGAGGAAAATAGAATTTTTTTATCAGATAGCTTCATTATAAGAATACAGATTCAGCACTCATTTTTACTTGGGGTAAGGGAAATGCACAAAAGTAATTTCACTGGCTTCAGTGGGACCAGTCTTATTGCAAAATATTACTTGTTCTGAATACAGGTTCTGAAATGCAACACAAGCACAAACAGCTCTCCTGACAAATAGTTTAAACAACTACAAGAATTTCCTTTTGAAATAAGTTTGTTTTTCTGATTTTTTTCACTTTACACAGGAAAAGTTATTTCCATGAGATTACCTACAACCAGCATCTATGACTTAAAAATAAGAAGGATGAACAATAATTTCCCACTACAAACTTGATTTTTAAATCCACTAGTATGGAAAATAGTGACAAAGAATAATGCAAACCATGTAAAAATATTGCAATAAACAACAAAGTAGGCAGAAAAATTCAGCCATAATACAGCACTATAAATTTCAGCAAACCCGTTGTAATATATTGCTTTGTACAAATATTTAATTATTTTTGTCTAGAATTTGCATGAGTTATGCTTGGGTTTATGTCTCTAGATGCGTGTATATGTGCATGAAGATAAATATATATATATGTATGTATGTATCTACGTATATAACAGTTCTGTTTATAAACTGGGTCTATTTTTATCTGTTAAAATCAAATGTGAGTAGTTTACTGAAACTTTCAAATCATACAGAACTTATAACTGCTGGATTTTAAAATGCTAAATTTCATTTGTTCTGTGCCTATTTTTTCTTTCAAAACAGAAGCAATGGGATTAACTTCACCCTTATACCCAACTCAGACCTGTTTTCCTTTGCCTCTTCATCTCAATAGGAGCTAATAATGAATGATCGAGTACAGAGGAAATAAAATCCAATTATTTTAGTAAGATCTTAAGCTGAGTTTTTTAGATCATTATATTTTTAAATTTTCTTTATTGAACACTTTTTATACAACTTGGTATTTTATTGAATTCTTTTTTACAACGTGCCAAAGTATAAATGTCAAATTCTGCACCACTGATTATCAATATAATAGATCATATTTTTTTGAAAGTAATGGCTAAATCTAATTAATTGACTTCAATTATTATTGAAAAATACTTAAATTCAGATAATCTCCTTCTGAGAGCTGTTGTGTAATTTGTTTAAAATGATGAAAAGGCCTAATGTTTCCATCCCCAAACAAGAATGCATTCTCCACCATTTTCTCTATTTCATAGAAAATCTTCTTAGGTGCAATTTATGAAGATCCTGCTTTGAGTCTGGGTAAGTGCTTTAGGATCTCTTTCTCAACATACTTATGTACAATGGCAAGATATAGTCAGTGTTTTTTAGAAAGTGGAATCCTTGAATACCAACGTGCATGGCCCAAAACTGCAGTATCAATATAGGCAGAATTTCCATGAATGTGGTCGTTCTTTCTCTCAAATACAGCCTCTGAGGAATAAGCAACCTGAACATCATCTAGCATGCAGAAAACCTGTACTTACCTATACCTCCTTGACATTTGCAAATAAGGAGATAACATAAAAACTATTTTTTTTCTGAGATTAGGAAACAGAATCCAAAGTGATGTTGTCTTGATGCTGCTATTACTTTTACTACTAAAAATTATGAAATTTAATTATAGAAGTTCGAATTTCACTAGCAAAGAAATACACTGGCCATCACTTGAAGAACTCCATTTTGCAGTTGCAGAAATACACTTTCTGAGAAATATTTGTGTTTATTGATGGTGTTATTTAAGTATTCAAGATTAACATATTTTTATGAACATTGATATAATCATACAGAGAAATTGGAGAACTGGGAAAGTGGAGGGCCCATTTGATCCCTGGCTCTGACACAGAGCTACTCTGTAACTGAGACCAAGTCTCTGTGTGGCGCTGTATGGGATGACAACAACGCCACCCACGTCATTTTGTAATCTTCCCAAGATTGCAGAGATTATAAATACCATACCTCACTTCCTGATATTTCCATAATAAAATTACATACGGTGTATTAAAAAATATTCTTTTTCTAAAACATTTTGGGTTTTCTTCTGGGCTGCAGTATACATCCAGCATTTTTTCCTTTTTCCTGAAGCTAGCAACTTTTTTCCAAAAGTAGAATTTTGCGCTGCAGACACATAGGATGATTAGATCAAGATACTCCTCTCCTGTTCAGTCATGCTCAACAAGTAGTCCTCGATGCCACTGGGGTATTTTTTATCATGACGAGTCACTGAAAGCCAGGAAAATAACTTGTCTTTTAATATTCAGCAATTTCTTATACGGTTAAAAGGTAAGGAGAGAAATTACCCTGACTGTTTTTGCAAAAATACTTTTTGTTCATTTACCCTTGCTTTATTTTCCTTCTCCTCTTACCACTTTTAGCAAAATTTTGGATTTATTCTTATATATGATTTTTATAAATTCCCTCACTCATATACAGAATGCAGTTAGCTTTTTCTTGGGCATCTCTATTCATGTTCAAATATTAGTGCTTCTGCAGATATTTACATGTAACACCTGCTGCAAGCCTTAGAAATTCAGAAGGCATTCTGATATGAGTGGGAGACACATTTTTCTCTTTTGCTTCAGTTACCTTCTGAAGTTAAATAGTTCTGACTGCATGGAAGAAACACATTTATTTATTTATCTAAATTATTTTATAATCTAGCCTATGTACCCCAGTTTTCTTATATGATATCTCCTGAACAAACTCATCCTCAGAGAAAATTGTCAGTCCTGTTACTATCTGGCTTTACTTCTCAAATGCTTCTGCAAGTAGATTCCCTGCAACCCACGTTGTGCAGATTCAGAAACCGTGTGCTGATGCCAGAGATAAGCGAATGTCAGAATTAAGTTGTACAGTCCCTTCAGCAGCATTATGGGTGGTGACATTTAAACTGGTGGGCTTCAGTTGTTACATTTTGTTTGGTGGATAGGTCAGGGAATGAAATCATCGTCATTGGCTGATCCCATGATGAGAGGGCGTCTCTGCCAGTACCATGCTGGGATCAGCATCCTTGTGGAGCAACAGCCAGGTGAGAGGAGAGCACAAGTCCTGTACATGGGATGCTGTCTGGAGACGAGGACAGCCTTTACAGAATTTTCACTTCCATAATATTCTACAATAATGGGTACAAGACAATCTCTTAAATTAAAAACTCTACTTAGTTCACACAATAAGCATATAAAAAAACTTTGATTGCTGAACTCACTCCATCAAGTTAAAAAAGACTTGGCAACTGTTTTAGGTACAAGTATTAATAGTACTGATACAATTACATTTCTCCATTTAAAATCAATCTTGTTTACCTAACGTCCTAACGTAAAAAAGCCCAAACCAAGAATTATTTATTTCACAGACATTTGACTGTATAATGTTCAAATATTTGTTAATAGAAAATTAAATTACATTAGACGTAAACATATTTAATTCTCTCTTGAATTTACATTACTACACAAAGAAATGCAAATGACAGGACAATATATTTTATCTGTCAGATTGATATATAAATAGCAATATACCTTTTTCAACAACTAACATAATTCACTAATAAATTTCTTAATATTCATAGAAAAATTATAACACAAGATTTCTGAATATTTAATTAGTTCACTCAATTTTTGGAATAAAATTATCATTTCAGATATGGAGAAAGATTTGGAGCCTGATTTTTAAAGATCTGTCATTAGAAATTCTTATCACTATGACCAATATAATTTATTAAAGAAATCTTTTGATCTCATCTCCAAAACTATTGCAAGTATTACACTTCCCTTTTTATCCATATTTATCTTTAGCATGAGTAGCTAGTGTAATACTGAGCAAAGAAGCATAATCCTGCTGTGGTTTCACTAAAATATTAGTTTTATCACTTTTATCCCTTAAATCAGAGCAAGACTCACACATTGGTTGTAAATCTGTCTACTGAAAATGGAAAGTGTTTTAAGAAAATACCATTCCATTTTCTGAGCTATGACTTAAATCTGTGACAAGGTGAGTTGCTGCTGTATGCACATTGCCTTACAACAGCAAGGGGTACCAATTTCCTTTTAGTTCATATACATCATTCTTTCTTTGAAGCTCATACAGTGAAATTAAACAGATGTGACAGCATGTTACTTGCATGTGAAAAGGCAAAATGTCATTCAGTTGTTTTCTGCTGGTTATTTCAGAATCAAGTGGTCAGTTTGATCTTTTATGCTTTCTGCCTTGCATTCTGTGGGACTCTCTGATTACATATATTAGACTGACAAGGTAGTTTGGAAGCACTTCTGGAAAGCATCCTTACACTTTAAGCCTGTTGACTTGTCTTACTGCTACAGATATCCAAAGGGACATTTTCCTCAGCTCTCAATCTTTCTGAACCCTAAACTGCACTTCCCCCTGTAACACATATAAAAAAATCCCACTAATTTTGCTACATTCACTAAAGAAAATTTAAAAATAGTGTTAGTACTTCCTTCTTAGCCGTAACAAGGACCTCCTATTTTTTCATCCTTCATCCTTCATCCTTTTCATCCTAAAAACAACCAGGGTTGTTTTTATTAGATGTATTGACAAACACATATGTGAAGAAAAAAAAAAAAAGGGGGATAGCTTCTATCTGGAGAGGTGAAAAAGCATCCTGCATGAAAGTTAGGCTATATTGTAACTCCTACATGGCAAGGAAAGCTGAATAATATCTAACAGTATTGCCAAGGAGCATATGCATTGCTATTTTTTTTAATATGCACAAGTAGTTGTCATATATAGTGTATCAGAAGTTTAAATTTCAGCAAGTTAGTGGGTTGTGGGCTTTTTGAACTCATCAAGAAAAATATCCCCAAAGTGCTCTGCTGACACTGCCCCTCCACTCCCCCTTCCCTAAAAAGTATCTTTAAGACATTTTCAGCATTTTAGACACTCCTGAAGAAAACATCAGCTCTTTCTCTGTGTGCAGTTCTCATGCTACAGAAAGTTGATCTACTCACCCAGGCTGGCTGTGTGAGCCCGGTCCCGTCCGTTCCGCGCTGCTTCTCTACCTGCTCGCTGCCCTCCGCATGTTACCGCGCCTCCAGCGCCGAACGCACTCGCTAGGGCTCCCTCTCTGCCGGCATCACTTTTAAGTCAGGCAGGCAGCGAGCAGAAGCCAAAGGGGCTCTCTGTCTGATTGGTTTCCATTCAGTGCCGCTGATGAATAAAATAGGTCCCTGACAAGGAGAGGTGCTGCTGCCCCTCACAGAGATGCTGCTGCTGCTAGAGCCGCAGTGCTCAGCGTGAGAAGGTTTGGGGCTGGGGGGGACAGCACGGCGGCTTTGCCAGCCAAACACTGATTTGCAACTGAATGCGGTGGGAGGGTTCAGAGAGGAGGGCTTTGTTAAGGACCCTCTTATTAACTGAAGCTTAAATACAGAGGTTCATGTTACCAGCTCAGTTTGGTCTGTTTTAAGATCAGGTGTAAAGGTATACCCCTAACTTGTGAATTATAAGGAAAAAAAAAAAAAAATTACTGTAAATATCTATACTAGCAACACATTGGTGTGCAATACACATTGGAGAATGCAAAATTATCCCTCAATGCTACTATGTTGACAAATGATTTTAAGATGAAAGAAAGCAAGGTATGTGAGATTTTCTGTGTGCTCAATAGGTTTACATCTCTAGTGTCACTTACAGCTATTGTTAATGATGGGCTTGTCATTGTACCTGAAAGTGAACATAATACAAAGTTGCGAGGGATGTTTTGGGAATTGTGACTAATAATGTTCAAGTCATTCACAGAAATAAACAGTTTTGCTAGCAACAACAATGAATTTCCTGGTTTCTGGTGCAGCCTGTTTGGGTACAAGTAATAACTGCTCACTACTATGACTCCAAATGTTCAATGTTACAGAATATTGTGGTTTTCTTGAACTATCATTTTCAATTAAGGCATGACGTCATTTACTAAAATAAGAAAACTGGAGTATCCTAAATTGTGGGTTTTGCTGTTTGTGCCTTTTTTGTGGGCTCTGGGGTGCTAAAGAGTGTTTGAGTCAACAACACAAGATTAAAATTTGCAATGGAACTTCTAGAAACTGATTGCCATTACTTTCTGTAATGACAAATCCTGATGACAGCTGTTGTGGGCATCAACAGAATAGGAGAAAATGCTGCAAAGTGTAGTTGTATAGTCTTGTAGCATAATTAATTTGGTACCAACACTTTCTCTTAGGAAAATGAATCATGAGGCTGATTTGTAGTTATGAAATTTTATTAGGGCTGTGCTTTCATTAGCTGGATTGAAAAAAGACATGGGTTTAATCTGGTGGTGAAACTGTATTATAACTAAAGGAAGATTTGCACCAAATAACCAAGTGAGAAATCTAAGGGGTTATTTTTAGGCTCTTCTTATTGCCTTAGTACTATCATTGATGAGCTCAACAGACTCATATTCACAGTGCACTGTAACCAGTGAGAACTAATTCGCCATTAGATCCCATCTGAAATTATTAAAGGATTGATGTAATTCGCAGACACCAGTCAGAGCCTTTATATTGAATTAAGTGGCAGTCAAATGTACTAGGTCTTCTCCGAACTCTACACGTCCATGAAAGCAATATTTGCATACATGTCACAGAGTGCACACTTGGGTCTAATATGGGAATATCAGAAAGCTAAATCCAGACCCAGGACAAAATTGATTAATGTAGTTCAGGGAAAACACAGAAGCAAAGTTGTAATTAGTATTTTCATTCCACAGGAATGGAATGGAATGGAATGGAATGGAATGGAATGGAATGGAATGGAATGGGTCCACTTCAGCAATGGAACTACTAGAAAAAAATATTTAGTATCATTTTTGTCCCAGTAATTATATGGGAGAACAAAAAGAAAAGCTACTGACAAGTGTATATCTCTGATGTCCTAAGGTCCCGGTGCAGATTTAAATCTTGTAGATCCTAAAAGGTATTTTCTTAATAGGAAGATGTCTGGATGATAAAAAGGCATGAGTAATGGCTCTACTTTTTTTCATTGTGCTGGCTTTTTTTCACCCTTTTGGCTTCTGTTCGGGAACATTGTGGCTACTCTGATCAATATTAGGAGACCATCCAGGTACGAAGGAATCCCTGAAACTGCAAAGATGAGCAAAGTATCTTTTTAAATATTTTCTTGAACTTATTCAATGGCATCTGGGGAACTGGCCCCTGTTTAAAGGTAGCCATAGATCTGCTCAATAGCAGTCGTAGGACACTCAGATAAATGGAAATGGCTCCATTTGATGTTGATGCCATCTACAAGTTTGTAATAAAACAAGCAACTTTATTTATATTAGACAGCATAAGGTCTGCTCTCTCATTTCTATTTCTCATGGTGTTTTAAATACAGCACAATAACTGCTATAGAGAGAAAATATTGAAATTATGTGCTATACATTGACAGAAAAAAAGGAGCATTTCTAATGCAAATAATGTTGCATGATGGGGATAAAAAGTTTTGCAGTATTCCCTCTAAGTAGAATATACATGAAAAGTAGGCCAAAAAGGAAAAAGCGTAGGTGTGACAGCAAATAGGGAGAGATGGGTGGAAATCTAAGGCTGTGCTCTAACATGCAGAGGGCTACTCCATATAGGGGAGGAATACAAAATTCTCCTTCTGAAAAAGAGTGGGCAGTGGAAAGAGATATGGAAAAGCAGAAAGTGCGCCAAAAGGATAAGGCAGGAATGCCTGTATTGCAAGACAGTCTACACTTCAGTTTTATATTTTATGAAGTCTCTTGGAATCAGGTCTCTTTTCACCCATATTCATCTTTCTTTCTTTCTTTACCTTCACAAAGATTTGTCTGCTAGCATCCATGGGAAGTAGGAAGCAGTGATTACATACCAAATCTTCATTGAAATTCTGAACATTTCCTTGTTTCACAGAGGCTAAGGTCACTCTGAAGTGATCTAGTAACGGAGTTAGGCTGCTTGCCATGTTAAATCATTCTGAGTTCAATCACTGTTTCCCATCAGTTTTTCTTTTCCTGACATATTTACACTTGTTTAAACAGAACTAAGTGCAAATAGAACTTCAGAAAGGGAAAGTAATGATCCATTTTTATCCCTAGGTTTTTCCATCTATATGCAGTCAGAATATGATGTCTAGGTTTGCTAGTGGGACTCATTTAATCTCTTCCGATACTTCTGATAAGGCGAGGCAGACCCAAATTTTCACAAATGTCCTAGGGTCTGTAAGGAAAACTTGGCCTGGGTTTGGTAGTAACAACTTCCCTTAATTAAGCCACTTCAATATGAGTTTTTTGCATTGTCAGAAATCTTAAATATGTATTTAATCTTTCTCAAATAGGAGACTGTGTGATGTCAAAAAAGAACAGTGCTGAACAGGATAGAACAATGAAGAAATATATAAGTAAGTAAAGGCTTCCAGAGATTCACAAGACCAATGCCAGCAGTTCTGTACTTCAACTCTGCTAATTTTCACCAGACATTTTAAGATTATGAAACATAAAGAAACTGAATCCACCAATTTCAATCACTAGTTGAAAAATCTAATCTTAAAAACATCTGTATTTTCACTTAGTGAATCAATTCAGAAGAATGCTTTTTAGTTTCTTTTTCAGCTTTTCTCACAGCTTTTTTTTCTGTGAAAGACTTTAAATGATCCATTTGTTAAAAATATGATCAAGTGTATGACTTAGAAAGATTTTTGGAATGTTACTGTGTGAGTCAACACAGGCAGGCAGCTGGAACAACCACAAAATCACAGCTGAAATGCAGAGAGTAATTTTGTCTCTTTACTCCAACTGGAGGACCCTGAATCACCTGGATGGAGACATCCAAGTGGGAACACAGGCACCTTCAGGTTCAGTTGATCCTAGTGAACAGTGGGCCTGTTTGCACTCATTTATTTAAGGGCCTGTGCTTGTGCAGCTTACCACCAGGCTGAGGTGTCCTCGGCTTTGATCTCTCTCCCAAGACCGGGAGCTCAAGCACGTCTGTGAGAGTGTCATTGAGTCTCTCAAAACACCTACATCACCTCCACACAGAGAGTCTTCTCAAAACAGACAGAGGACAAACAGCAGTAGGCGTAATATGTGAGGTTTCCCACACTGTTATTCTCCAGGCCTTGGCATTCCCAGTTGCAAGGTCACTTGAGCGAATGCACCCTCCTCCTCACCATTCCCCTGCTTTTAACATTTGCTCCCAAATATTGCTAAACCAGAACTGACAAACATGAGATTTTGGCTGCCCCCAGCCTACGTATATACTATCCAGAGGATAGGACATAGAGAGAATAAGGAATCTTCTATTTCTTTCCCATAACTGAGCCTCCTCCTTTGATAAAATTATGCAAGGAACAGCCACTCTGTCTTGTTTTATTTCTGTGTATGACTCTAAGTTCCCAAAAAAGACATGAGAGGAGGGAAGGCAAGTATGTGGGAAGGAACCCATATCAAGACCAAAACATGATAAGAACAATTAGACATTGTTAAAGTCTGAGCTTTTTATTTTTTAAAAACAATTAAGTTAAAACATATGCATAAAGAAATCTGGTGCCACACAGATCACTGGATTAGTTAAGATATTTCCAGGGTTACTTTTGTTTCTGATTTGGGAAATACAGTAGTAAAAGCTTTAGTTAAGAATAAGTGCAATAATCAGTTTCATAGCCTAATAAGCCCTCTTTACAGAATTTTAAGATAAATTAAATCACAAAAATCAATTTTTCCAGCTTTTTAAAAACCCAATAATTTATTTAGATAGTTGGCACAAAGTGATTTGGTTTATTTGCCATGCAGATGCATATTTACATACATCCACCCCTTCTCTACTTATTTCCATAACAAAATTTATTTCTCAGCAAGTCAAGATTGTAGACTAATATCATAGTTAACTTGATTTTGTGGGTTAAAAATTTAAAAGAAATTCTTAAAAAGCTCTAGTAGTTTCAAATTTATTATTAATTTTTTTGTTGTTTTTTTTTTAAATAGAAAACGATTGTATTTATCATTCCTTCCTTGCTTTTTATCCTCAGTCTGCAGATACGCTGTTTTGAAATACTAAAACTAGATAAATCTGGTTTAGGTTCTGCTGAACTGAAGTTTTTAAACATCAGGCCAGGTTTTATAGCAGAAAAGCCTCCATGTTTTCCAAGCATTTAATCAGTTTAAAGCTGGTGAAGATTTTGAAACTATATAAACCCGATCTAACTATGTATAAAAATTGAACTGTTCAGATTTTCTATCAATTTACCAAAATGGCCATAGAAGAATAATTTATTACATACACAAAAGGTAAAATGCAGTAGACTGAAGTAAAATTGACAAATATTAGATGGAAGGTA